TTAGCAAATAATAGTCAAGTTGGTTTGGCTGGTTATTTCTATAGTAGAGATGTTGGCAGATGTTGGAAAATAGCAGATAGAGCTGGATTTCCTAAGGGCGTGATTAATGTGGTAACAACGGATCAACACACCAAAGAAGTCGGATTAGAATTGACGGTATTTTAAAATCTAGAAGGACTTGTTTATACGATAAAAGACATTTAATTGTTGTTATATTATTTGCTAGACAAATCCCGATGTGAAGAAAATATCTTTTACTGGATCGGTACTAAATCTATTTCTATTTGGTGTGAAATTTCTTGTACTGCTAACCTGATTCATGTGCTTGGTCAAAATCGGTAGACAAATGTCGGTAAATTATTAATGCAACAATGCTCTAGTACGCTGAAGAAAATTTCATTGGAACTTGGTGGTAATGCTCCGTTTATAGCGTTCGATGATGCAAATGTAGAAGCAGCTGTTGAAGGTTTGATTTTGTATTTTTCATATTTTATCCTTATAAAGTTTAAATTTATATATAGACATCGAATATTTTTGATACAGGTTTAATTGCCTCAAAGTTTCGCGCTTCTGGTCAAACTTGTGTCTGTGCCAATCGTATTTACGTACAATCTTCTATATATGCCGAATTTGCATCGCTGCTTGCGGATAAAGTAAGCGGATTCAAAGTCGGTAGTGGATTCGACCCTCAAACCACTCATGGGCCATTGATCAATGCAAAAGCAGTTGACAAAGTTACACGTCACATAGAAGATGCTGTTGCAAAAGGTGCCGAAATTCTTGTCGGTGGTGTCCGACGTAATGGGAATTACTTTGATCCAACTGTTTTAACAGGAATGTCAGCAGACATGATCGTTACAAATGAAGAAACATTTGGTCCAGTAGCTGCATTGTACAAATTTGATAAAGATGAAGAGGTTATAAAATTAGCAAATAATAGTCAAGTTGGTTTGGCTGGTTATTTCTATAGTAGAGATGTTGGCAGATGTTGGAAAATAGCAGACGCTTTGGAGGTGGGAATGGTTGGTATTAATACAGGAATAATTAGCAACACAGAAGCACCCTTTGGTGGAGTAAGTATTATTCTATGCAACGATTTCTGTAATCTCTTATGATGCTTATTTTTATTGTCTAACTTCGCAAACTAGATTAAAGAATCAGGTTTTGGACGTGAAGGTAATATAATTATCTGCACTCTAATCAGTGCACATGCTAAGTCATTGTTTAATTTTTTTTTTAATATTTAGGTTCCAAATATGGTATTGATGAATTTCTTAATCTGAAGTACATGAATTTTGGTGGCTTATAAATCCGGAAATGCCAATAATGTTAGTAATCAGCAGCATTAAATATTAAGCATATGTAAAGTTTTGTAATCTTTGAGCAAATAATATTTATAATTTTATAAATTGAAAATTTTGAATATGTAATTAGAATACAGGTAATACAGGTAATTTGTACCTTTGCTTAACATATTTTTGATACAACTTTAGCCAGTATCATCAGATCTCTCTAAATGCAGCTTATAGGATTAAATTTTTAACGTGCATTGAGAGAACAATCAAAAAGATAACCAATTTTCATCTAAATGAACTTGTTTAACATAAAATTTTATGTATAATTCCGGGTTTAAAATCATAAAAAAATATATAGTTTGACAAAATCTTAAATTGTTTAAAAAAATGGCATACAAATTTAATGTTTTGGTTTTCATAATATGAAACTTTCCGGCCGATCGACCGACCTTTTTTTTAATTTCATATAAAAATTTGGATTAATTTATGGTGCAATTTATTGCACCCTATTATAGACTACGAATATATGTTAAATTAAAATTAGGATTAGGGTTAGAGTTAGTAATTAAAACTGTTTTATAGTATATAAATTTTATAAAAAATTTTATTGCACCTGACATGAGTTTTGTAAGTTTAACATTTATGAATCTTGCAAGCTTATTAGTTAATAATGGGATGCAATTAGTGATACGGGCCGGCCCGGAAATTATCGGCCGGGAATCTTCGGAATGTAGACAATAAGACAACATCGAATATGAATCTCTTATAAAGTCAAAGAAAAAAGTATTGAATCGGATCTGAATAACTCCCCAATCCATGTCTAAAGTGCGATAAAGGTTGAAAATCTTTCAAAATCTTTCAAAATCCTTCATAAAAAGATCAGCCCTGACCGACCGGGCCGGCCTCGACCCGAGATTTTTCCATCGGCCCGTATCACTAGATGCAATACATTGCATATGCAATAAATTATAAAACCCATTAAATAGAGCAAAATCTCACTTTTAACCCCCAAAAATGCTTGATAAATCCAATTATACGTATATAATTTACAAAATAATTAAGAGGTAATTCGTTTTTGAAAGACTAAAAAATTTTCGAATTTTATAATAAACAAAATCGGAATTTAAAGTGCTATTTATTTTATACAACAATGGAAATTTGATACATATAAAAGTTTTTTTTTTTTATTAAGCGAACCCTTTTAACTTTTAATCAAAGTTGTAGAGCTAACTTTTCTGATTCTAATTATGATAAATCCTCAAAATCGGTTAAATATATTACGAATATGAATATTTTCAAATTTTTACTATAGGGTTTTATGTTCGGCATTCCACTTCTATATAAAGGGGTAGGGCCAATGGACTAGGAAAACCCGTCTGACACTTTTTTATCAATTTCGAGATTCTTGATTCAAATTAAAGTGCCGGTTTATATCTATATGTATTTCGCTACGTTGATATAATAATAATAATTTATCAAGACATTTTAATTTCAGTTAAATTAGATTGGTCATTGATTGATATCTAAAAATAAACAACAAATTCAAGGGTACAATTTAGCTATTTTCTCAAAAATGGGGACAGCAAGTCACATAATTTTTTTATATAAAATTTTTAAATTGATATAACTTTTTTTAAAAAGAAATAATTTAGATTTAACCAGAGGTGAAATTCGCCAGTCTAAAAATTTTTAGGATTAGAGTGCAGGTTTAAGATAAAGGAGGAGCTTTATATAACAACATGTAGATTTGATATAAGGTCCCGATTTTAGTTCTCGTGAGGTTTTCGAGGGTCTTGAACATTTTTACTTAGAATGCCCGATTCTGTTTACTTATTACGTTTTTGAAGTATAGAACCCCCACCTCCAGTGAGTATTAAAATCGTCCATAAACAAAAATAAAAAAATAAATTTTTATATTAACCAATGAAATTATTTTAGTTTGGTTATACGAAAATTAGCCAACCAAAGTTTTAGATTTATGTTACACAACAGGTGAAAATTTGGTTTTAAGTGTCACTGTATGAAAACCCGTCTCTGAAGTAGGGTTGGGGGCACGGAAATTTTTTTGGGCATGCCCCCTGGGCATGCCTCTGTTTTAAGGGCATGCCCTATAGGCATGCCCCCAAAATTTTTTGTATGACGATTTTTTTATATGTAAATTTTTTGAAAAAAGGGCATGCCCCCAACCCTACTCTGAAGGGGGTTTTCCATGATCCATATTGTAAGAATCTACTCCGCTTTAGACGTTGTCTTATAAAAGGCAAACAGTAAAACTGCGCCGATTTTTAACTGGGGACTATCCCTTAAAACTTAATTGCAATAATGATCTACTTTAGAATTTTTTAAATTTTAATCTTCTTGATAGGTATATGAAGGCGAGTAAACAAATCATTTTATTAAAATGTAGATGTAATAAATGGCGTGACAGGAATCTTTAAGATTCTTGTTATTCAAGTCTTTAGGTCGAGCCATAAAACCAACGTTGGGGCACAGGTAATCTTTAGGTTTGCCTGTGTTCAAGTCTTTAGGTCGACCCAATGCTGGTCCCATTGAGGCACGGGTGATCTTTAGGTTTGCCCGATGTTAAAGTCTTTGGGTCTATTCAATGGGATGATATATTGGTGAAGTTGAGAAAATGTTAGTTAAAAACTTGTTACTAATTCTAAAAAGCTTTGTTAGAATACTCGAAATGACTATAAACAAGTGAAAGAATGGGTGGATATTCGTATTAAAGAAAACAGTATACCCTCGATTTATTTCCATCAACCTACATTTGCAAGCATCAGTGGGACTATAAAACGGAGAATAAATAATGGAACCTTTTTTTTTTTTTTTTTTTTTTTTTCTTGCCTCAGTTTTTATTAATAAAGTTATGTGAATACATTTACAAAGAAAGGTGTGACATATACTCTAAAGCTAAA